CCAAAAATTACAAAAATACCCATGAAGTAAGATGTCAAAATGATTGTTTTTAGCTGTATTACCTTATTAGGATGAGGTTCAGTGTTCTGTGCCTGAGTGTAAACGTTGTAGTGTGTGACGAGGCCGTTGGGCTGCGCGGGGGGCCGCCAGGACACCAGGATAGAGTCTGCTCCCATAACCAGGGCTTTCACCGCGCGAGGTGCCTCGGGGACTGAACATCAAAATAACATTATCAATAAGAAGTAAACGAACCAATGAACCAAGAAATATCTTTCAATTCCATTCTATCTTAGGCTTAGCTTTAGACTTTAGAAGAACTGAGAACTCAGGTTGTTACAAAATGTCCGTTAATTTGTGACGTCATAAGTTATTATCATACTGACCGTCCTGTTCAGTCTGGCAGTGTATGGGAGCGGAGCGCACGCCGTCGCCGCCGTTGGTGGTCGCCAGCACTTCCATAGAGTAGTTGGTGAATTTCTTCAGTCCGTGCAGAATGGTCTCGCTGCTCGCCGTAATCTTTGTATCCTTCGATTTCTCATCTACAAATAAAAAAAATGTCTTTATTAACACGTGAACTGCAACTATTGCTTGCGATCTCGTTTTAAACTGCAATTTCAATAGCTGCTACATTATTGCGATCGATACTAAGGTCAAAAAGAAGTGAAGAAGAATTTAAAACCAATACTCACCATACCAAGTGTCACTAGGTCCGTAGATAACTTTGTAGCCTTTGATGAGTCCGTTAGCGGCGGCAAGAGGCGGGGAGACCCAGGAGACGCGGATAGTCTGTGCGGTAAGCGTGGTGCAGAGCACATCTTGCGGGGGCGCGGAGGGGGCTCCTTCTGCGGTGTAGGCGCGGACCTCGCCGGACACGGGGCCAGAGCCCATCTTGTTGAATACTTGTACTACGATCGCGTATTGAGTGTAGGTCCTGAACACGTTTTTATTAATTAGATTTCTCTAATAGCGTTAACTGCCCTCTAGTATTTTCATAATCGATTCAAAAGGTTGATGTTAACTGCATCTCCGTCGAGTATCTTTTGATTTAAGATATTTGTTATATTTTCAAGGATAAAATAAGAACTTTTCAATACTTTCAAAGCAAATATGGTTTATTTTGATATTGTATTATGATCGAATAAGTAGTAGTTTCCATCTATGTTTAGTTATTTAGATTTACACTTACTTCAGATTCAAAATGTCGAGATGATGCTCCTTGCCAGATTCCTTAGAGATGTCGACGGTCTCAAACACGAACGATTTGTTGCTGGAAGCCAGTTTGTAGCCAACGTAGTATCTGAAATTCAAGTTGATTTTATTGGTATAAAACGTGACCAAATATGTCTAAGAATCGTTTCTAGTTGTATAATTCAGTGTTTCCATACTTCACATCCCATTACATTCACTTA